CGTCATTGTGTTCGAGTACCTGAGTAATCTGCGCCTGTCAAAAGCACGCGATGTAATTGTTCTGCGACTGGACAGACCAGGTATATTTTGACTCATTTCCAGTGTAGATTCTTCATTGCACACCTTGGTGCCATCCACAAAACAGGCAATTTTTTTGCGATTCCGTGCTGAAGCTACATCACCTGTATCCTCACAACAGATAGCCTTTCTGCGGTCCTGCACCGAAGCTCTGATGATCAGTCTGCTCTCGGTGTTTTTGCTTTTTGATCTGTGAAAAGGGCAGGTGTATCATGTTCACTTCACTGTTTTGTTTTCCTTTAGCACGTTCGCTTGCGATTCACCTAATACTTTAGCAACGTGACCTATCATAAAGAAATGTTGAGAGTTAATGGCACGGAAATTTGTCGTAGAGGGAGCCACTTTTCGAAAAAGCTGCTTATGGACTGGGAGGGAATCGAACCACTTCTAGTCACATTCGTACGCTTTGTGTTACCCACTACACCACCGGTCCTTGTTCTCCACGATCAGGCTAGCAACACATCTACTGTGTATTTGCCTTTCAAGACAGAATACATCTTTTTCTTGGATGCCTTCCATAGGCAGTATGCATCTTTTTTCTTTGTGGCGGCTTCTTCTTGGCCGGCTTTTCGTCTGTTTTCCATGACAAAGTTTTAAGAACATAGAAGTAAACAGAAATAGTACCCCACGCCCAGAGGTAAACAGAGGCAGCATTGAAAAACGTTTGGGTGATAGCGCCATCAGCTGCATTTTTTCTTAGACGGTCCTCGTATTGCATTTCATCAAATTTGAAAACTCGCTGACTACATTTTGCTTCCCTGCTATGGCCGTATTTTTCAACATCGCAGTCAGTTAAGCTAAAAATATAAAATTTTCTCGGTCAACTTCCTTCACGGTCCTGCATCTCCGCATGGGCGCCACCGTTTGAACTTGCCTCATTATCACTGAAAGATTAACATCCAACATCTTTATTCGTTTGGGATTGTTCAGGGCTGCGCCCCTGTATACGTTCCCGAGTTGAATGCACCTCTAAGCCTGTACAAAGCAACAAGCATTTGCTGGGTATACTATGCTGAAAACGAATGTGTGCTGAAAATACTATGCTGAAAACGAATGGTCATTTAACTGTTCAAATGTTGCAGTGCAACCAGCAATGGAAATAGAATATCTGAAATGTTTCGATGATATGCGAACTCGAGGACGCTATTGTGTGCTTGCCTCAGAACATTTTATGCTGAAGGACGCCTACCTCATTGCTTTGGAAAAGAACGAGGAACCTCCAGGTAATCAGCGTGTGCTTATTGCACACATGCTTCGTACATTTAATATCTGATACTATATGGCTGTGTGATGTGAGCATTCACTCTACCGTGCGAATTCACTGGATGGTTATGACACTTTACGCCATAAAAAGACCCGAAAATCTTACGTAGGTTTTTTTGGCACTCTGCTTGCACCGGAAGTTGAAACCTCTTCCGTACTCGCTCTGACGGAGAGGCGGAGAAACTGGGAAATAGCTTGTATGACAGCCTGAAAAGTCTGTCGACGATTGCCATTCTCAGGGGTTACTTATAACTACCTTAATGAAGGGTCCACCCCCTACCGTGCACAACACTTTTGTCTTTTAGGCCTTTGGTCCGATGTTAGGCTCGTACGTGATCCTTGACTGCAGCAGCGATAGACAGGGGAGAAACACCAGCAGTTTATTCCTCTAATAAACGCTCCACTCCAGAGGAAACGCCGAAGATAACGCGTAAGCGACGAGCCGGAGCACTGCATAAGCTGTGCAACAGAATAACAACGGCAGAGGGGGGAAGCGAGACGCTTGCAGTGTTGAACGGTCGAATGACGCCGTAGACTGACAATTTCGCAAACTAACTGACTGAGGGTTTTGATTTGGGAGG